ATCAACTACGTTGATCCCAGCTGGATTTCTTGCTAGACTAACTGCGTTAGACTAATCCAGAATCGTTTGAAGACTTTAACAAAAATTATAAGAACAACTTGCTTTGAACGCAATCCGTGCAATGACTTGCGCAAGCGCTGTGCTATCTCATGGGATCACCTGACTTCCTGTCATGTGATAGAATTGAACTTTGCACTTCAAAGTGCACCGGAATACCGGCCAAATTATTTTTGTCGGAGACTTTAATTTGCCTGCGATCGACTGCACTGACTCATCCAAATTTAAGGAACTTGTGATCTTCAAGAAGGCGAGCGGTGATGTTGTCCAATCCAATCGTTTTATTGGTCTTCAGTGATCTTAGCTGTTTAACGACAAATGATTCAAATATTGCTAATAAGTAATCACCAAGAACTTTCAAACTACATTTTGAGCTAATAAAACGTCTTTTGGGCTACCTTTGCCAAGCCGTTAAACAAACTCTAAATTGCAGCTGCTGTCTCTTTTAACATAAACACATTACTTTAATAAAAGACAAATTTCCGACYCGCGACGAAAATGGCGCATAGTCGAAACGTCAAGTGAAAAAATATAAAAATATACTCAAAAGAATAGATGAAAATACAAAGCATATTGTACATATATAAAACAAGACTATAAAACAACTACCTAGAAGGCGGATTTAGCATATAAAAGCGTTTCACTGAATATGCGACTTTATCCCTTTCCAACTGCATGCTATGGAGTTTTACTTATATCAACAAGTGAAGAGTTTCGACGCAATCCATCGGTTGCTATTCGACGTCACGTATGGAAACAAAACTGTCCTGAGGCGACACGAGTGAAAAGCATCTGCGCATGCTCTGAATCCGTATGCAAATTAGTCAAAACATATGTAAATTTGACTTTCAAATATGCCTGATAAATTGGACTTCACAATGCCAAAACTTAGTGTCCATGCTTGAAACTTAAGGCTAATTCTTTCATATTGTGTTATTTAATACAGCATTTTTTCTGACAAAAGTATACTCGCGAAATTTTTTGTATGCTTGGAGAAAACAAACATTTATTTTCTCGCTCGAACTCTTCAAAATTCGCAAAAGTCTTTCTCTAGTGTCTCTAGAGATGCCCCCTCCCTCCTGACTCGTGTATTTCATCATAAGTACTTTGGCATGTCATGCCTTTACATCTTTTCATTTCTTACATACTTCGTCCTGCCATAAATTACTTTTTCATTATCTAATAGACGATCACTTGGAAAACCAGCTAACAATTCCAGTGTAGGTGTGTATGAAAGTGATGCTTGTCACCCACTAGACTGCAAGAGAATCGAGATAGAGTTGGTAAGAACAGTAACTTTTATGATTTTTTATTCGAACATGCAATTTGCCTTAACGGTGTTTGTGAGCAAGGAAGTGGGGTTTTGCCTTAAGACCGGCAGAAATAGAGAAATATCTTGCTTGTTTTTCTTGCTTTTTTGTTTGACGATTGAAATTTCTTTGGGAGATTGTTTCGCGCGATGGTTGCTCGTAGTTTGCATTTTTCAGGGGTTATTGTTATCTCTTCTTTGTTTTAGTTTTTAGACCAATGTACTCAGGCTCTGGGTCTTCCATTTGCCGGTCGTAAGCTATTTGATGAAGAAGGACGAGAGATTACCTGTATATCTGACTTAACTCGTGATCAGCTTGTTTATGTTTCTTGTGGGGAGAAATGGATCGATCCTCAGATGTCTTATTCAGAGCAACAAAGAAGGGCGTTACTCATGAACCTGGCATCTGACATCGCTCGTATCAGGCAATACTGTGTTCTTAGAGATCCTACAGGTAAAGTGGACAGGTTCTGAGTACTTTTGTTTAGGTGGGAGGGGGGAGGGTGGTTAGGAATGGCACTAGCTTCATTAACTTCGCCTGCTTTACTTCACTTTGTTGTCAAAATTCAGGCGACTTTTCAATAATTTTCCAAATCTAAGGTCCCAAATGTAGTTCGTATGAAAAATACAAGTGGCGTGTTTCACATTAAAATACTAGTGTATATATAATAAATAGGTATAATTATAAGTAATCTTAAGAAAGGTGGTTTCTTGCTCATTTTGTTGTCATTTTGGCAGACCTCGTCCTTGATGTCGATGGTCCAATATTACCCGGTTCAAGAATTGTGGTCGAGAACTGTGTTCTCTCGAGCCTTGAGAGAGAAAAACTAATCAAAAAATTGAACGATGATAATGCTGATGAGGTAGAGGATGAAGATGCAATTAGGTGAGAACTAAAGCATTTGGGTGCATCACATGTTTATAGGATAATCCAATAATCAGACATTGCACCCATACCTTGATGTTATGGTACTTTTTCCAAGATCATAAGAGATCGCACCTTAAGCTAAATAGTCGTGTATTGGATGTTAAGTCAAGAGCGCATGCGCATTCTCATTTATCTCATTTCAGCTCTGCTGCCTTGCTCAGCTATGCAATCACTGCACATGAGCGTGCCCATCAGCGTGCAGATGAGCGTCTGAAGTCCCTACGCTGGTCCTGGGAGAATGACAAAACATCTAAAGGTGACCAGGATTTGGAAGGGCAAGACGAAGGAGACTTTACTAATGAGATTACGTTCAGCGATCCAGTCCTACAGAAAAAGTTCGTGTAAGTACAAAAAATAGTATTTGACTGTTAGTCCAAAACGATTTCTTTTCCACTTAATACGCCATTTGTAAAAAAAATGTCACATTCTGATATATCATTTGACGACAAATCAATTCAGCCATAGGTCCCTTGAGGAAGGCTGTGCTGCATGGCAAACAAACTTTAAATTGGTTTTCGTATCTTGAAATCCAAAGTATCTTGTGAAGGGGAAAAAAAGTATTTTGAAAAAGGTTTTGAATATGAATTTAATAATTATATATGTACAGCTATTTTAAACACGTTGAATACTGCAAATTACATACTAAATAGTGTATATCAAGACCAAAATACATTTTGGGTCTTATGTAATATTGTCTAAGGTAAAATAATTAAGCAATAGAAAACTTTTTCCGTGTTTACATAGCCTGATAGCAACACGAGGGGAGGTTGGGAGAATTCGAGAC